TGTGTGTAATGAAAACAGAATTTAAACTATGTAGACTACTTTTTGCCCTGTTATTTATTTAATACAAAAACACAAATTTGCACTATGATAACAACAACAAACAAATGGTCTCATTCATGAAACAACACCGAACAAGTTTGTGCTTAGATTCCAAATGGTCAGCCTTGTTTACCATGGCCATGTTTACACAGAAGCAGATTACACCTGTCAGTCTTTAAGATGGTTATATTCACACACAGTTGGCTACAAGAGTAACTGCCACATGCGAACAGGGACTAAAAAGTGGCCCTGGATTCTGTTTGATAGGTTCAATCGTTGGATCAGTATCTGATGCTATGGGAACATCCTCCAGTTGATGGTTATCCTGCCTTTGTAACCCACTTCTCTTCCTCAGGGTGGAACACTATGGCGTTTCGTAAGTGTGTGATCCGCTGTGTGCTCACTTTGTTACAAAAGAGGACACGCATGGTAAGTGTCAAGTGCATGGGTCAGGTGGAGTCTCTTCCCCCAAGCAGTCAAGGGAACATGACCCTCTCTAGCAAATACAGAGGTTTTAGATATGATTTCTTGTCCTGTCAACAAATTAAAACTGGACTGGTCTTGGAAGAAACCTTTTCCGACATGAATTACTAATCTCGCTTTAACTATGTTCAGCTTGGTGAAGCAGGGGAAATACTTGCATCAACATCTTGACCTAACCTGTGAAGGTACAGGGTAAGTTTGAGTTTAAACCTTCAGAAGAGTGTTTTGTTGCCATGGCAACAGACTGCATTCCTTGGGGTATAACTGAATTTGTGCACAGTCCAATCGTGACTGTCTACTGCTTGTGTCTAGTCATTTTGTCTCTGTCTGAATCAGAACCAGACAAGACATTCCTATAGATCTATTTTGCAGAATACTGGGTCTAATAGCAGCTGCCTCACTGGTGATACCACTTGGCCTTCTTCATATGAGACTTTTTCAGAGGTGTGATAGCAGTAAGAGGAATCCTGGTATCCTCTTCACTTAATGAGGTTTACATGCAGTGCTGTATGACCCTTTTGCACTGGAAACAACCCCAGTTCATGATTCAGAATTTTTCATTGTGAAGTGTTTTGCCACTAGATAATGATGGTAGGTTGGGACACAGTTTTTTCAAGGACGCCCACCCTACGGTGTTTGGATGATGGCAGTGTTTTTGGTTTTGACCCACTTCCTCTGAGAAATCCAAGGATGTAACATGATTTACAGAATTGACAACATGTCAGTTGTCTCAACTATAAATGGAAATGTGTTCACTGGGAGGTTAGGTCAGCACATTCTGCTTCTGGTGCAGAACAAGTTTCTGTTGCTATGTGCAATGCACATCGAAGGTCATTTGAATCTGGAAGCAGATCTTCTCTCGAGACATGGGTTGAGGCTTTGAGAATGGAGGTTTCATCCTCAGACCTATCTGGCAGGGATTCGCCAGGGCAGATGTGGATAGGTTCGCTTTGAGTGAAATGACCCAGTGCCTCCCTTGATTCTCTCTGATCTTGTCCGTCATCTCTGGGGTTTGACACTCTTGTGCATGCATGGCCAATGGTCCGCTTGTATGTTTTACTGCTGATAAATCTGCTTCCTGCAGTGATGCAGAGGATGCGAGAAGAGGGTCTCCTCTTAGCTGCCACATTTTAGCCATCCCATATTTGGTTTTTGACATTGACACTGATGTTAAAATGACAGGTCTTATTCGGACAGGACTAATTTTCCTGAAGGATGTTAGAGAAATTCGTATTTCACAGACTTTGTGATTTCTTTGCTATTTTATTTAAAATTGGGATTAGATTTCTTCTAAGATTTCGAGGTTTTGTGAGAAAAGCACAGACTTGGCAGATTTGGACAGGATTAAAATGGCAAAGTACATATTTTTCTTCACAAAATTCTCTAACATCCTCTGGGAAAAACTAGTCCTGTCCGAATAGGGCTTATGCATCAGTAAATCAAGAGTGACTAAATGTGTATTTTACACTGGTCCTCTTAGTAGCTTGGAAATCATATGCTATTTAAATGGTGATCAAATTATATACAAAATAGCACAAGAACACTCCATTAATCACTTAGTAATCATTGGAGCTGTCAATCAGGGTCAGGTTATCATTGATTTCAGTTCTACACTTTATAATAAATTATAATCGATGCTCAACACTGCTCAATGAATCCTATATTTGCGATGTGTATGCACTGTTATTATAAAATCATTCAAAAAAAGAATGCCAAAATTGTGTTGCAACAGCCATGACTATGATTGGCTATGATGCTCAGTGCTGCAACTTTTTATGCAATGGGAGTATATCTAAATACAGTATAATGCTGTAATCAACATGTCTTAATCTTGGCAGAGGTCATAGTAGTACAAGTTTTCATAAGAGTTCCACATGTAATACTTATTTCATATGCAAATATGTTACCCAATCATAGCAGTGGGCATGTACAATGAACTCTTAAAAGAGATCTACTCATTTAAGGTTTTCAAATCAGAGGTCCAAAATTATGGCTATTCATTTCTAAATGATGACAGTTTTGGGCTAATGCTAATGTTAATCCACATTAATCCAGAAATATTTGAAAAAGGTATCTTCGTTTCAAAATGTCAACACTAGCATTTTCCAAAAGTTGCTCATCCACACGGACAAAATAACAGACATAAAGTTCTCATTGTATTCTTTTGGCACAATCTTTTTACTACCTAATATCCCACCACTCACTGGTGCGTCCAGGTCAAACTTAAAATCTGCATTCATTGTATGGTCTAAACGCAACTGTCATCATCTTTTACTGCAGGACAGCAATTGCATGAAAATATTCAGTCATCTTTGCATAAATGTAATATGCATATTGTACAAAGCAACATGCATTAGTCACGCTTTATTATTTAAGGTCCAATTCTCACAATTAAACTAACTATTAATTACAAATGTTGCCTTAATAAACTCCTAATTACTGCTTATTAATAGTTAGTTAGGTAGTTGTTAAGTTTAGGTATTGGGTTATGATTAAGGGATGCAGAATATGGTCATGCACAATATGTGCTTTATAAGTACACAGCAAATATGCTAGTAATATGCATGCTAATAAGCAACAAGTTAATATTGAGAATTGGTCCCTAAATTACAGTGTTACCCATTTATTTGTATCAGCATTATTAAAGGGAATAGCAGACACAACAATGCCAGGTACAAGCATGCCTTTAATACTGCCATTGTGTGTAAGGCACCCCAGGCGGTCTCACTGCTGCATACGCCCTGCTGTTGAAATGTGAAGCCGGTTCATAACGGTTTAGACCGCAGGATCAGAGCCTTCAAAGAAGATGCATCACACTGAGAGAGATACCCCATGAGCACTGGGACACATCCTCACATGGTCCCTCTCCCGCAATAATTCAAATAATGGAAGGGATGAATGCAGACTGAATGTGATCTCTTCCATGATCTCTCTACCTTAGCATGGAGATCAGGAAGAAACGGAAGGCTCACAGGAGATATCTAAGACAAAATACTTCCTGAAACTCATAGCTGAGTGTTCAATAATAGTCACCTAGTTTTCGGCGCTATTTTT